TGATTTATGTAACTGGAATAATTCCGCGTTCAAACGTAAATGGCACAACGGGTCTGCTGTTGGGCCCGACGTATGCAAACGTGTATTGTACAGCCGGTATATAATATGTTTGCACAAAAATTTAATTTGAGGTAGCTTATGATGTGTTTTTTAAAATGTAATTAGTTTTATAGGGATTAATTTATTTTAAGTCAGTTAAAAAAATTGTGAAAAAATTGTGAAAAATAAAAACGAACAAGTTGTAAATTCAGATGTTCATTACATGAACATTTTGCTTCTACTAGGTCCGATAAGAAGTTTTTGAAGTCATATTTTTTTGTAACACAGTGTTATTAATGTTTGAAGCTAATTTATTCTCTTATATCGAATTAGTTGTATTATTTGATTATTTGATAGAATTTCCATATAATCGATTTTTCATACTACAGAATTTTTACTTAACCGACAAATCATTTAATAGAATTTGTAATTGATAGAATTTTCATTTGTCCGAATTTTCAAATCGCCGAACAAACAATCGACAGAAAGATTTCGGCGCGATTTTTAAAATCAACCAATCAAAAATTATTCATAAAATTGTGATTGGTTGATTTTAAAAATCGCGCCGAAATCTTTCTGTCGATTGTTTGTTCATCCATTTGAAAATTCGGACAAATGAAAATTCTATCAATTAGAAATTTTATTAAATGATTTGTCGGTTAAGTAAAAATTCTGCAGTATGAAAAATCGATTATATGGAAATTATATCAAATAATAATTCGAACAAATGAAAATTCATCTGAATGAAAATTCTATTCAATGACCCAATAAAAATTCTTTAAAATGCCTATTATGTTAAATGAAAATTCGAGCAAATAAAAATTCTGACAAATAAAAATTCTGTGAGTTGAATTTCCCGTTATATAAAAATTCTGCAATATAGAAAATCGGATTGATGAAAATTATGCCAAATGCTATTTCGAACAAATTAAAATTCGGCTCAAAACTAATTAGGACAAATAAAATTCGATAAATTGTAAATTATGAATAATGATTTTTAGAACATAATCATGCGTCCCTTTTTTTGTAAAGTACATGACCCAAGCTTTGTCATAACTTTATATTTATTAAGAAAATTTATTTATTTATTTAAATTTTAGTTGTGTCAATTTGTCTTCTGACATTAGGAGAGTTGGACATACTGTTTAAGTTATTGAGATTCGTGTGTTCGCTAAATAAACATTAATTCTGTAGCAAATTACATTTTTCATGACATATATTGTAACAAGACACTCCAACAAAGATTTTCAAATTTAAATATAGTCAAATAAAATAATCACTATTGTGTAATTAAATCTTAAAAACGTTTATAAACAATCATAACACAGCTGTACAAAATAAGACTTTAATATATATATATATCAGAGTGGTTTCCAATGTATTTTTGTGTGCTGAACACGATCCCGGGTTCCAAAATTGCGTATCACGTCAGGATTTTAAGTAAAGTGGGGGTAAATTCTCCAAAAACTGTATTTTTGAGTGTTTACAGTATTTTTTTTCTCCTTAAGGGGTCTACCCACTTTAGACGCGCTAAAATGAAGGTTGTTTTCAAGAATTTTTCTGATTGGTTTATATTATAAATATTGACATATAAATTGTTAGACTAAAGAAATACACTCCCGAAATACATGAAAAAATTTTTGTTATTTGTTTTTGTAAATTTTATATGCATGAAGATGGTAGTTGAAAAAAAATCCCACAAAAAATTTTTTTTCCGCGCTGTTGATGAAATCTTGGAAACGGCTCCACCGATCCTTACCAAATTTTTACCACATATTCATTGGGACCATAGCTCTTGCGCATATCAAGGGATTTTAAAAATTTTGATTTTAAATATTTTTTTTAGGCCCAAAACGGTCAAAAAACAACGTTTTTTTACATTTTTTTCGTAAAATGTCCGCCATTTTGTCAATTTTGCATAAAAAAAAAATCGTATGATATGCGCAATAGCTATCAACATGCTGAATCTAATACCGTTTGAATTTTTTGTTTCAGACCATCCGTGTCAAAAATTTCATCAACAGCGCGCACCACATTTTTTTTAAACATATTTTTCAACATGTATTTTTAAATAAAAAAATTAATGGAAAAAAATCAAAAATATTTTTTTTTGCACTTCGAGAGTGTATTTATTATGTGCAATACCTCGCATATCAATATTTGTAATATAAACTTAAAAAATATATATATGAAAATAGCCTTTTTTTAGCCTGTCTAAAGTGGGTAGACCCCTTAACCTGACGTGATAGAGACTTCTGTATAGGGTTAAATTAAAGTTTAAAACGTACATTTTAAGACCCATATGCGCATAATAAAAAAAAAATTTTTATTTTGAAAAAATGGGGGTAATGACACCAAAAATCTTTTTAAGTTACTTGAACCTAATTTTCTTTTAAATTCAATTTTTTTCATCTTGCGCATATATGTGTCATAAAGTGTAAGATATAAGCTTTAATTTAAGCCTATATAGAACTCTATCACGTCAGATTAAGGAGAAAAAAATATTGAAAATTCTCAAAATACATTGGAAACCACTCTGATATCTCAAAAAAATACCTTGTAGCCTTGTTGTGTTGGTGAGACAGACAGACAGACAGTGCTTATGAAAATTGCACTGAATTTAATGATAAATGTTCGAAATGTGGTCAGAAGAAGAAAAGAAGACTTTAATCCCTTTAAATTAAAAATTTTGATAAAGCGAAAGCTAAAGATTGATTTTAAAGTATTGGGCTATGGCCGTACGTCTATGGCCATCTCCCCCGTACATTCCGGGAGAGATGGCCAAACGCGTTTTTTAAAAAATATTAATTTTAAGATTGTTTGCATTTAAAAAATTTCTCATTTCTATTATTATTTGTAAGTTAAATGTTCAATGTTTAAGAAGCAATAAAAGTTAATACGTAAATTACTTTCATTCCATTTTTACAGACCTTTAAAAAACTATGGCCAACTCTGCCGGACTTATCCTAATTTGAGGTCGAAAAAATGCTCAGGTCTATAGACTCATGGTACCAGTTAAGGTTTAAATATAATTTATAATTTTTTAACTTTCACGGTTTGCATAAGCTAAGGAGGAATGTGGACTGTATTAAAAGAATTTGAATTGTATAACAAAATACCATTCAAATGAACCAAAGAACGTTGAAAAATAATTATTTTTGACAGAGAAATAAAAAAATAGTAAAAATAATGAAAATTGGGTTTGTCTTAGATATATAATTGAAAAATTAACATATTCTCATTGTCAAGGTGTGTCATTTCTTTCATAATTTTATTAGCTTAATAGAAAAAAGTTTTAATATTAATATTTTTGAATATTTAATCCGTTTTATATTTATCGAAAGAGCAGAGGTCGTACAATTTCCGATGACAGTGTAAAAAACATGAAAAGAATATTTTTAATTGTAATTTTTGTATACCAGCTTGTCACACCTTATTCTTTCTAATTAGAATACTTATGAAGCAAAGAGTATATGAATTTATTTTAGAAATAATTTCATTTAGGAGAAATGTTTTGACAACAATATTTCAACAAAGAAGAACAAATGTGTGTTATTCATATTAATATATTATAACATATTATTCATGATATGATGAATAATATGTTATATAAGAGTTCATACATATTTACACACACACCTGTTCTTCTTTGTTAAAATATTGACTCTGCAAGTAAATAAATTCTATTCAAAATTTGGCACTATAAAAACGGCACTGAACATGAAAATACCAAAGATCATTATCTTATAACTTTCTTAAATCCGAATAATTGTGCAAATCTATACAAAAGCGCGATTGTAAAATGAAAAGTAGGAAAGTAATATAATGACAGCTGCGACATGCTTCTGCCACCTAACGGCTGCAGGACGTAATAAAATTAAAATTATATTACTTTCCTACTTTTCATTTTACAATAGCGTTTTTGTATAGATTTGCACAATCTTTCGGATTTAAGAATTTCATAAGCTAAGAATCCTTGGTATTTTTTCCGATTTTGAAAAATTTTATTCGTCCTGAAATGGAGTATAAGTGAATGTAAGATAATATTATTTTGTTTAAATATAATTGTTTAATCTTTTTAACAAATTATTTTTGTAAACAATTATAATTAAAGAAATTAAAAAATAGTTTTCAATAAAAATAAAAATTTTCATCTTTCCAAATAAATTAAATGTAAGATGAGAATATTATTTTGTTTGAAAAACAATTAAAATTTTTTTTATCAACTTTTTTTTCAACTTAAAAAATTGTTTTTAAACAAAATAATTTTTCTATCACACATGCTCAAAGCACGAGATTTTTGAGCATTTGTGATAAAAAAAGATGAGAATATTCTCTTTTTTTAAAACAGTTTTTTAATTTTTTTTAACCAGTTATTGTTTAAAAAATTAGTATTTAAAAAAAATAAATTGAATGAGAATATTATTTTGTTTCAAAGCCATTTTTTAAACAATTATTATTTTTAAAAAATTTAAAAACTAGTGTCTAGAACCCAAAAATACATTAGGAACCACAGTGATATCTAAGAAAAACCTAGTACATCTGTTTTACTGACCTTGGAAACACCCGAGAGACAAGTTTCAACGAAACCTATCAATTTTTTCAAACGCAAACTTCAAACAAGGATATCTCATACAAAAATAAATATTTTTGAAAGTTCTAAATTGCAAACTGTTCAGGAAGATATGAGCTTTCAAATAAATATCATGTAAAGTTCAAAAAAAAATTTGTACTGTTATAAAAAATCAAAAAAGTATCCTAAAAATGCATTTTTCTAAAATTTTCAAGGTCAAATTTCTCGAAAACCTAGGGTGATGGAGCAATTCTGAATTCGGATTCGTGTTCAACCTAAAAAAAACTGTAAAACTACCATATGCATAGTGCGAATTTTTGGTCGGCCCAAAGTTAGGCCAACTATAGCTATGTTTGGTCCTACTTCGCATGCCAAAGGTTGGACTTACTATACAAATGATAACGGTCCGCCAACCATTGGTGTCATTAGTTGGCAAGACAACTGACGCCAACGTTGGTCCAACTTGAAATGCGTATCGGGTGGCTCCTTTTAGAAATACTGACTCTAAAAATAAAAATTTTTTCATACAAATCTTGTAAAAAGCAATATCTAACAATTGGAAATTCGTTTACTTATTAATTATGTCTTTAAAAAATTTGTCTAAAACATCAATAGATCAAATTTAATCTCTATTAAATAAAAAATTGATTCATCGACCCCAAAAACTTTTGATAAATATGGTGTGATCTCTACACCAGAATTATTTTTTTTATTTTTTGTTCGGCTATAGAATTTTTAGAAGTAATTTTTGGAACCTGACGTACTGGAGTAAAAAAAAGTTCGGATTCAGTTTCAGTGATTCTAAAAATATAATAAAAATACCATGACCCCCATGGTTAGAGATACTTTTTATGTTTTGTACTGATAAGAAGTATTTTTAGGGTTATGTCAAAAACTAACGTGATTGGGTAAAATAAACATTAAATTCAGTTTTAATGACCCCAAAAAATTAGGTAAACTTTGTCTGTCCCTCATACAAGAAGAATACTTTCTGTGTGTTTATTGGTTTAGAAATGCAATAAATTTTTTGATTTTATTTATGAACTAAAATATTAATATATATCTATTTAGTAAATAAATTGCTTAGTAAAATTTCATCTATAAAAAATTTATAAAAAAATTAATTATTAATTTAACCCATATTGTATCAGTTAAATAAAAATCTATTTATTTTTATTATTGCGAAAAGAACCCGAGTAGTACTGGTCCTTAGTACAACGCCAATTCTTTAACAGTATTGACGCAATCATTAATTTCAACCTGCGTTATTTCTGCTGTTTATCGGCCGAATAGTTAATATAAAATGTCTAAAATAGTTAAATTTGCATTAATTATGTTTTTAATAAAATATTGTAAAAAAACGTATTGAACTGTCGATTTTTCTATCATTTCATAATTTTCATTTAACCTTCATAAACTCACAAATCAAAAAGAAACTTAATTTTTATAATTACTTTCCTTAACCAAAGATGTATAAATGATTTAAAATAACATGAATGTTGAAAACTAACGTAACTAAAAAATTGTTTTCGTTTTAACGCGTCAATTTTGCAAATCTTTACTTAATTATTATAAATTTAAATAAATAATAAACAAATATCATAATGATAAGAAATTGGTTTAAAAATTCTAGAGACATTTAATTTATCGAAAGATTATAAAAGGATCTTATTTAACTCTTAAATATTTTCATTTACGTCTAAAATTAGTGTATTGACATTACTAAAAGAATCATGTAAATATACATACATACATAATAACTTAAGTACATCAAAGGGTTTTCTTGACTTCATTTATGGCATAGTAAATCGTGGAAAATATTTCGCATGGTCCATTACAATGCGAAAATATTAAAAGACTTCAATTTTTTAAGAAGTGTTTCGAACACTTTTATTATTTTTAACACTGGCAGTCAATATTAGACACAAATATGTAAAATGTTAAAATTAAAATGTATCCTATAAACAGGAAATGTAACACCTAGACAAATCATCACCTTAGGCAACACGAATGTTGCTGGACAAACTAAAATTATGAAATGAAAAGCTCGAAAAGGTCCTGCGCAGTGAGACTAGAGACACTCCGATCATTCCTGACAATCCCCCATATTTGCTTCCTCTCACACTCTATCCTTGTGCTATCTCACTTATGCGCACATCTAATCTCGCTGACTTTCCTCTTCTAACACAGCAACGCATTCTCTTGGTGTACACCATACTGGTCGATTTTGTACGTTACATTTTACACTAGCAAGGAGCATTAGTTCTAGACAAAAATTAATTAATAATTTTTTTTGTATCTAGAAGAAATGCGATTAGTACCCAGTAGCATGTTGTGTTTCGTCATTATTGTTGCAATATCAATGTCAATTGCTAACAATATTGCAACTCAATATTACTGTAATATTAATCTAAAATGTTATAGTATTATTAAATGTCAATATTATTGAAATTGTATGTCAATATTATTGCACATCAATATTTGAAAATTTCTACACAGAAAAAAACTGAACTTAAAATGAGTTGCTTACGCTAAATGTTTCAAATTTAATCCGGTCAGGTTCATTTTGAGTTCGAGATTAATATTAAATTATAGTGGACACAAATAATTACTCACAAAAATATTAAATAAAATAATTGTTTTTAATAAACAAACGTATAGCATTAAAAATTAATCAAAATATTGTTAAAATAATAAATCGAAATTGTTGATAAATATAATAAGATAGTCAACTTTGCCAATTATAAATTATTATAATTAATAAATTTTAAAACTATTATAAACAATAATTTACTTAATCGAAAATATTTATAACTATAATAATTATTGTTAATAAGGTAAGGTAGCCTAAGAGTACACACTATAAAATATTCCATCATATCTTAGTTCATTAGGAATATTAACATATATTTATTGCATGAAAAAGTTCTATAAGGCACTGCGAATTATATTTTGTCGTAGTTTATAATGATAATGTTTGTGGAAGTTTTATATTACTTAAATTTTATATTGAAGCGCGTGTCATGATACATTTTTTATTCATGAAATAAAGTGATTAATGAATTTATTCATGTTATAAACAATTGTCAAGTATAAGGTAAATGTCCCAATTTGTGTTCACTTGCGCATTAATGCACGAAATAAATCACGAATCAACTTAGAAAAATGTTGAAAAGAATATATTTTTAATATTACACTATATATTATCCGTGTAGATTTGCATTTTCGGTCTCAGTATTCTTTAATAATTATAAATTAAATGTTGAAATTTTGAACTGTCGCCTCTTTGCCAAAACGAGGAAAGTATGCCGCCATCTTATAACGATTGTCATTAGACAGGTTACCAGCATGTTGTTAGCACAGCATAATTAAACATCTATTATTACAAAAAAATTATTTTATTAAATTAATATTTTATTATCAAATATACTTGTTTTAATTTATCAAGAAGTTAATATTCGTCTTCACGTAGCGTGCGTGGCGTAGTTAGTAAAGCGTTAGGCTCATAGTCCGTAGGTAGTAGGTTCGATTTCCCCCATACGTTAGATTTATTTATTTCTCAGGTTTGCGTTTAATCATTAATTCTATTTATGAATTAGTTAAAAAATGAAAATATCCGTTTACAGTATGAAGAAATTACATATTTTTAAATTTATTTATTTATTGTATGTATATTACAGTTAATTAATTAGAATGTTAATTAATAAATTCAATTTGAGTAAGAATTAATTTAGAAATGGAAGAATTAGTAAATAAATATGTTATTTACTCATAATTATAACTAATAAGAACTTCGCTTCGACAAAACGATAATTTTCTCCGGTGTCGTGAAATAAAAACTATGAGATGAAAACGTTTCATAAAAAGAGATGATTATCCACACAAAAATAAAAAAAATGTAATTGTTTAAACAAATACTTGAGTTTAACAGGAAACTTAAAATTTTATAACGTTATTTGATTTTACCAAAAAAATACGACGAAACTGTGTGTGGAAAATTTTTTAAAATTTTATTTTACATAAAAAAATTAAATGAACAATTTTATAACTAATAAAAACTTCGCATCGGCAATAAAAAAAATCATAATAATATTTATTGAGATTAAAACTTATTGGAAAATTTTTTTTAACAATTTGATAAAGGAAGTTAATACAGGGGCATGATAATTGTTAATCTTTTAACGACCGCACAAAATTATAAATATTAAATGTTATATTTTTTCGCAGTTTTCCCACGTAGAATCAAAATTAGAATTTATTTTTTTTTTAAGTTATAATTTCTTTCTTTGTTTATAAATATTCAATAGCGTTGATACATTTTGAAAAATTTGTTAAATTATTTATAACAAATTGTTATAAATAATTTTTTTTCAAAAAATTTTAAACGTGACAATTTATTGCTATGTCTCATGCTAGGATCCCAAAAGTTGATTTTTTGATATTTGCTTTACTCAATCCATAAGCATAAATGGGTTAATAGATTAATTGTTAATTAGTGATAAGCAATTGAATACACTTCGTTGTATTTTTTTATTGAATCGAATGGCGTTATTAGATTTTAAGATTTTTGTTGTACTCAAGTATTTCTTTAAACAATAATTAATAAAACAATTGAATATGTTTTTATTTTTGTGTGGATAATTACCTTATTATCAAACGTTTTCATTTCGGGGGTTTCATTTTATGACGCCGCAGACAGTTTTCGTACTGTCGAAGCAAAGTTCTTATTAGTTATAAAATTGTTTCTTTATTTTTTTTATGTAAATAAAAATAACAAAATTAAAAAAAACTATAAATCACACATGAAACCTAATGTGACTATAAAATTGAAAGTCTGCTAACTTAGACAAATTTTAACGTATTCAAACCGATTAGGGGCCATTTGAAGTAGAATTGACTACACTTTTGATGTGTAAAAAGAAAGAAGGTATATCTCATCAGATAACAGTTACAAATTGATCAAAAAGTTGAAAAATCAGTAAAAAATCGAAATTTTTGAAAGTATTTGGTCTTTATCGTCATCAATTAAGTAGATACAACAATAATCCTTTATACAGTTACAAAGATCTGTTTTCAGCTTAAAACTTTTAAAAAAAATTTGAAATCGGGCAAAAAATAAGGAAGTTACAAGGATTTTTTCACAAAAAATGATATTTCGTTTCTAAAATCAAATTTTGAGGGTGTAAAAGCAATTAAATATACACCACTCTTTTCAGTTTTTTATGCTCTACAAACTCTACTAGGTCCGATAAGAAGTTTTTGAAGTCATATTTTTTTTGTAACACAGTGTTATTTAATAGAATATTAATTAATTAATAATTTATTAATTACTCATTAATTAAATAATAGTCAAAAAATAAATTATTATTTAATATGTAAATTAATTAATATCAATTCAATATTATAAAATTATTAAAATAGATTAACTTAAATTATTTCCTACCAAAAAAAATTCTTGCGATCAGGAAATAATTTTTCTGACAATTCTTCTCTATAAAAAAATTAATTTATTATTTATGTTAAAGACGAATTTTGCAACCTTGTACTTTTCAGTAGTCATTTAATTTGTCAATCGTCTACTTATGAGTGCTACACCTTAAGTTGAATGTTGTGATTGTGAATAAATCGAGGTTGATAAACCTCCTTTTTTAAACACGTGTTCGATAAGTTTGTATTTTTCCATCGTTATACTGCTAGATTTTTCTAATTCATCAATTCAAAGAGTGCACTGTCCCGTTTCTACACAGGAAAGACTAAATGATTTCGTTATGTGGAAATTTAATATGTTTTTTAAAATATCCTTTTACAAGGATGAATCGTAATAAATATCCCCCTTTGTGAGCTGTCGTCCCTTGACAGCATGGTTATGTCGTGAATTGACGTGTTGTAGTCGTTTTCTAATTGTGTTTTTTTAGAATCTGTTTCTAGTTTTACATTATCTGTTTCCTTTCAGACATTAAGTATTCCCTAGCGGATTGTGTTGGCTGAAGGGAGTTCGAATTTGACCTTGTTAAAACCCTCCTTGAAACCTGCTTAAGTTTTTTAATAAAAAACAATATATAATGATTATATAATCAAAAATAATTAATTAAGAGTAATAAATATACATTTTATGAGTAAATGTATATAATAATTAGTGTAAATAATGTTCAATTAATTATAATTAATGTGAAAAGTTAAAGAATAATAAAAAAATAAGGTTTTTTACCGACCGTCAGTTACTTGCACAGTATTGGTAGTACGACTAACAGTCGACTTACCATACGCGTTTAGTTGGCATACATAGCACTAGGTGACGAAGTGGTCAATTCTCTTGAGAAAAATTTTCATATTATTCAGTCCAAAAAGACCTTTTCGTGATGATCATTCTGTCTTTATCTAGTACATACAATGACGCATGAGTTGGAAGAGGACGGAATGATCAGCATGAAAAGTATTTTTTGAAAAATGTTAAATATTACATAAAAGGGTTAAAAAGACAATTTAACCTATATGTTTTTAAAAGGTATTTAAGAATCTTTTTCGAATGGTGCATTTTTATAAATTCCAAATGTACACTTTTTTTAAATCAAAAATATTTTTTTAAAAAAAGATAATACTTTTTTACCTCTTAAAAAAATTTAAGATGTGTACTTGTAATAATTAAATTAAAAAATGTCACTTTTTATTGTTTTCGAGATATTAATTAATTAATGTTAATAAAAAATAAAATATTCTATAAACAGTGTTTTATTTAGGAATTCTCTAATTAATGTCAATATGAATTTTATTAATTTAAATCGGTTCTATCAAAAATAAAGTAATTAAATGACATAAAATTCCTAAGATGTTTAAATTTTTTAAAATTATTATATATTCAGAAAAGTTACATTTTTTGAAAAAATTATATATTAAGATGTAAATTTAAAACATGAAATTTGTTGTACATTCAGAAAGGTTAAAAAAAATTTTAAACAGAGATTTTTATTGGTAAAAAAATAAACATTTATTCGCACCATTCATCGATGATTTTTGACATTTGACTTATATGTTTCTCTTTCTGGAATAAATGTACTTCAAAATTTGAATTTCATATATTTGAACAAAAAGTGCAATAATGTTTAACATTTAAATTCATTTTTAAAAATAATAAAATTTCAGTCTTTGATAAAAAAAGAATTTTCGGTTGTATAAATATTCTGTAATATATAAGAAAATTGGTTTAATAAAAATTCTGCAAAATAATAATTCGAACATATAAAATTCGGCTCAATGAAAATTATATCAAATGAAAATTTTAACAATTGATTTTTAGAACTTATTCATGCGTCTCGATAAAACCATACTATCTTGTAGGAAATAAATAGCTCATATTTTTTTCTTTGATTTTGTCATAAAAAATAAATACTTTAAATAATAAATAAAAAACCAAAAAAAAATTGTTTCACAAATTTCATTAAGTTTTAAAACATAAATTATCGTATCTCTTACAATTATTAACAGATTTGATTAAAACTTAGTGTACATACGCACTTCGTACTGTTGAGTAATTTTTTAATATAAATAGAGGCCTGTCGGAAATCACGTTTTCTTACATTAAGCGACAAAAGTGTCTGTAGAGAAGTTTACATTTCAGACGATTTCCAGTGAGCCATTCTTTTCTTATTGTATAAGCAAGTTTTTGGGAAAAAATAATATATAATTAGTTATTTATTAAATATATTTTTTTTCGTGTACATTTGTTAAAATAAATGTACAGAGCCAGGAAAATTTTCAATTATTTGGCTTCAAATTATTTTTAAAAATCTTCCTTATATTGTAATAAACAAATGTATCACTGGAAGTTCACTTAAATGTAAACTTTCCTACTGACATTTTTCTTGATGAATTCAATTTTTTATTACATTATTGTCTTCAGTAGATTCAATTGCGTGCCTATACGAAGTTTCAATTAAATTCCTTGACAATTGTAAAAAATACGATTTTTTAAATGTTTAAAAACTGAATAAAATTTGTGAATCAAAATATTCGTTTTTTTAAAACTGAAATCAATTTCAGTATTTATAAATTGTAAGGTTAAGGGAGGACTTTTTATTTCTTCTGTTGTAATGTAAAAAATAATAAAATATAATATTTTTGTTGGAAACTTAGGAATGTATCTTTCCATCAAATAAAAATTTACTTTATTCCACTTAATATCATCGGGAAAAATTCTTTCAAATGTGCTTTTTAAGGGAACTCACATTTTGGGATCCCCCCTTAAAGATTAAGTAAAATAAGTAAGAGTCTTCAATCGTGAAATCATTTTTGGAAAAGGATAATTTATTTTTTCATAAAAAATACGACAAATAAGATTTTATTATTAAATTATTAAATGTATTTTATTACAAAATCTATGGTTTTTTTTTGTTAATGCAGGGTTGTTTAAACAATGTTATGTTTGAATATTTATTTAATTAATTATTAGTTGTTTATTTTCAGTATTGATATTGTACATTATTGAAATAATTTTATTAATTTCGTTATTAAGAACTGAAACTATGTATAAAAATTATTTATTTAAATTACTTATAAATGAAAAATGATTACTTTACAATAGTTACTTGCATTTATAACCACTTCAAGGTTGTGAACACTAAAAATCAGATGGATATTATTTAAGAAATGTAAAAAAGGACAAATCATATTTTAAAGTGAAAAATTCTCACTGAAAATTATATACGAGTAACCTCTACAAATTAATATTTAGATCAAAACTAATGAAAATATTTATTTATTTTATTTAGTTACACATAGTCACGTTTTCCAGAAGTACTATAAATGGTCAATGTAAATACAAACAAATTAATTTTTTAATAACTCTGCACAAATAAATTTTACACACCAACAAATACTAAGTATATAACTATTTTTTGTAATTCTACAAATAAAAATGGTCACTTTTTTCATTGTGGATTATTTTGAAAATTACACACAATTAAACTCAACACGAGAAAATTCATCATTATTGTATTTTACTGTTGTAACAATAAACAACAATTGGGTAGAAATTTCGCGTGTTGAGTTTAAATTGTGTAGAATTTTCAAAATAATCCGAAATGAAAAGATGATAATTTTTGAGTAGAATTTAATTGATTACTTAAAAAATTTGACTACTTATTAGAATTTGAGATTCTTTCGATTATTGGAAGCAATAAATGAAACACCAAATTATTTATTCGGCAACGTTTCGGTGTCTTGGTTTGACACCATCATCAGGCCACTTGTTCAATTAAAATTAAAGTTATTTGGTTACATTAGTAATAAGTCTAAAATTTTTTCGTCTAAAAATTAAATTCGAAGAGACGATGTCATTCATCGTAAAGCAAAATAAAAACTGACTGATGATGGTGTCAAACCAAGACACCGAAACGTTGCCGAATAAATAATTTGGTGTTTCATTTATTGCTTCCAATAATCGAAAGAATCTCAAATTCTAATATAAAATAATGGAAGGAAAAAACATTTAACATTGACTACTTATTATTTTTTGTAGCTGTGTAGGAGTTTCCGATACTTAACTTTGTAGAATATATATGTTTTTATTTTGTTAAAAATTGTTTGCGTACAATTAACAGTTTGCATTTTCTTGTGTAGAAATTTTTTGTATAGGATTAATACCGCCACAATTAAATTTTAACTTTTATTTTTATTACATTCAAGATTTATGGAGAGGGAAACATCAATGAAAAGTCACTGTTTATTTTAAAATTACTTATAAATAGAAATTAAATTTGATTATATAGTACACTGAAAAAAATTTATTTTAATTAAATATACTTTTTTTAGTTAACAAACGTAAATTATACAATTAAAAGTTTACTTAAATCAAATAAACTTTTTTTAGTCAAGCAACGTAAATTCTGTGGTTGAAAGGCATAACAGCACAACTGCATTTGTCACGATTTTAAGAAAAATGAGTTTTAATATTCATTTAGCGTGTCATTATTTAATGTATTTTTAAAATACGTTTATCACATTTTATAAAACGCACGAATTCATATGAAATTTAATATATTCTTAGTCAAATTGAAAGTTTTTTTGCAGTTATGTGTTTATGCTGTTCAAGTTTGAATATGTAACCAACTTCACTCTATTTTTCATGTCATAATAAATTGTTAAAATGGATTTAATAGCGACGTACGAATCTGAGTCTGAAACAAATATATCTGAAGGAGATGATTATAATGAAGGCAAAAGAATAAAATTATTATTTATGTTTATTGTATCTATGAAAAAAATCAAACGAATATTTTTTAAAAATAGGTTATAAAATTGGTTAGGTTTTACGTTTACATTTCCGTAATTTCTTAAATTTAATATTTTTTGTGAAGATATCGAGAAGAATGAAGATAACTGTGATTCAAAAGAATTAATGAAAAGAGAAAATCGAAAAATTAGTCAAACTAATAAAAAATTTTATTTTTTCTGAAATTCCTTATTATAAGATAAAAATAAATAATAAATAAATAAATAATATTTTTATTTTAAAATATTACTTTAATTTTGTAGATTACGTCAATTGTTTTTTTATTCTGAATGCAGTTATGCGCTTATGCCTATCGCCTATTGCCAAAAGTGCAGTTATGCGATTAGGTTATTCATCATTTTCTACTTAAATAGTTACATAAATGATTTTTCAACTATGAATCTTTGGAAAGCATTACTAAATGTACTAGAATCTGGTGTTATCTCAAATTTGATAAAAATGTCAGTTATGCTGTTATGCCTTTCAACCACAGAATTATACAATTAAAAACAATTTTTCAAAATTACTTTAATATTGAAGAACACCTCCATGAAGTTGGCGTCGACGCTCAGCGTCGAAATTTATTTTTCACGGGACCAAAAATATCAAATGATTTTTAAAAAGATTTTGGGACCACATAATATCTTGAAAAGTATTTCTCAAGGCATTATTTGGATTGAAAATCTTAAAAAAATATAATTTGATACTTTTGGTCCTGTGAAAAACAATTTTCGGCGCTGAGCGTCGACGCCAACTTCATGGAGGTCGAAGAACAACATTTTTAAAAAACTTGACAATATTTTAGTATTATTTATAAAGGTACAATAAGCGGTCATTCACAAGCTACGTCATACGTTATGTTGTATCTATGTTGGATTACTCGCCGCATAAACATTACGTTTTTGTACATTGAAATAGAATTTTTTTCACAGTTTATCATAGGTAGCTTTACTCCCCCTACCCACTAGAAGTGTAACGTAGTTTGCAAATAATTCCCTAATTGTAAAATCATTTGCATTAGTACTTAAAAGTAAATGGAAAAAGGGAACTAAGTTTCCTAAAGCCATAAAATCAAATGAAATTGAGTACTTTAACCCTTTGAGGACGAAATGTTTTCATAAAAAACACGATTTTTGGTTTTTAAATAAGTTTTTCAGCGAAATTAATTAAGGTTTTTTCTCTAAACTGGAGTTTGGAATTGGAAATATATTAGACTAAATAAAAAACGTTCGTTCAATATTCAGTTTTAAAAATCAAGGAACTCATGCACGAGATAACAAGAAAAGTTCATATTGCCTGATTGCAACACGGGTCCTCAAAAGGTTAAAAGTAAATATAAATAAATTGTCAATTTTGCAACAATTTTGGCACCCAAAAATTTAAAAACTGTCACGTTCTATATTGGTTAAATTGACTGATTTTTATTTTTGTAAAAGGAAAAAGTTCAAGTTGATATTTGAAATTTTAAAAAAAGTTAAAAAATGACTTCATTTATCTCTTGTGGTATTAACTAGAAAATTATTAATTACATTTAAAAAGTCTCATTTTTTATTAATTTTTTATGTTTTCCAAATCTGTCGTGTGTCTACGAAATGCATTAAATTTTCAATTAATTTTATTTGAAAAAAATTGAATCTACATGCAATTCATTTAATTTGTGAGATACTATGGGTTAGCGAGAATTGAATGAAAAATAAATAAAAAATAATATAAATGTATTGGTAAAAACAGTAAATGATAATATAATAAATTAAATTAATAAAAAGAGTGTGTAGAACATAAATTATTAACAATTAAAATGTCTTCTATTCCTATAAATAATTTTTCTAAGATAAATTATTGATGCTGATGGAAAAAATTAATTATATATCTTATAAGAAAATAATGGTTAAATGTAAATAAATATTTTTTTACTTTAAACAGTAATACAATTTATATTTGTTGTTTCCTTTTCAGTGTAGCGTTCCAAAAAAAAGTGAAATAGGGTTGATTGTGCAATTTGAAAGCGAAGAGTCCTAGAAGAGTCCGTCCTTGTTTTGTAACCTACAAGTAACACTACCCAATTGTTACTCAACGATTGAGATCGGACTATGGGCATTTTGCACAGAATCGAAAAACATTTGACACGTGTATTTTTATTTTGGCAGACATGATGCTTCAAGGGTTGAAAATGAGGATTGAAATATTTGGATTTTTTATTACCACATATACAATAAAAATCACTATTACACAACAACACCATGAAAAAATCCTGAGTTGGACCTTTATCCTAAACCTTTATCATAAAATTCTAACGACTTTAAAAAACTCGTGCGGCATATTGCATCCGACATTTTAAATTTTAAAAATTGGACTTTAAATTCGTAATCAACGACCCCAAAAACCCCTAGATAATAAATTTCATTAAAATCTAACAATTTTTAAAAATTCGTCCGCCATATTGGATCCGCCATTATGTTCTTTAAAAATTTTAATTTTACCATATTGGATTTAAAGTTTTTAACTTCAGATTCGTAATCAGGGACCAAAAAAACATCCAGATACTAATGTAAAACCATTAAACTTTAAAAACATTCCGCTTACCCTTGAAATCCGACATGTTTTTTGAGGTTAGAAAAAACTGCTGACGTGATGGAACAAATCTGACTCCTGATTCGTGTTCAGCGTATCAAAATACATAGGATAAAGGTCCAACTCGGGATTTTTTCATGGTGTTGTTGTGTAATAGTGATTTTTATTGTATATGTGGTAATAAAAAATCCAAATATTTCAATCCTCATTTTCAACCCTTGAAGCATCATGTCTGCCAAAATAAAAATACACGTGTCAAATGTTTTTCGATTCTGTGCAAAATGACCATAGTCCGATCTTAATCGTTGAGTACACAGAAAAACCACTGGCTATATTTTGTTTCAGGGAAAAAAATCACAAGCTAAAAGTTCGCTCCATGTGAGATAATTTTTACCTTAATTTTAGGGGAAAAAATTTCGTCTGCTATCAAACCATCAGAATTGTAACTTCACATTCTGATTGGTCTGCCTAAATAGCAGAACCAAGCTAAAATTAACGCGCGAATCTTCAAAATTGAAAGAAACATCCAATATTCTGCTTTTCTATTTATATTACAAAAAACCAGTAAATATTAAAGCTAATTAAAAAATAATTAAAAGTAACGAGAAACATTATTAAAATTTTTTAAAGAATTATCGCTTGATGTAAAAATTGATAATTATTCAACCTCTATTATTATTATTATTATTATTATTTTTATTATTATTATATTAATATTAATAATGATAATAATAATAATAATAGTAATAATAATAATGAAATACATTATTAGTTATAAATAAAAATATTTTGTTAATTTTTAATTAGTACTAATATTATTGATAATAAAATGTTGAACTAAAAATAAAATTAAATTTTTAAGTAAAATTTTAGTTTGAATTATACTTTAAAAAATTTTGAGCATAAATTATGTTATTAATTGTAACTTAAATTATAGTTTAAATACAATTAATGGATTTTTTAAAGTGTTCAATCAAATTTGTACAAATTCATTTTCTGGAAATTGGATAAAAAGATTATTGTAATTGATGGAAATAAAGGCACAATTAAAAAAATAATATTAAAAAATTTATAAGACATTGTTTTCCAAATTGTAATTTAATGCATATACAATGCGTGCTGATAAAATTGTTTTTGTTTAAATTAAACGTATTAACATGTATTAATAATCAATGATAATATAACGAACTTATTTTAATATAACAAACCTTTTCTTTGAAACGCATTAAACTTTTTAAATATCGTCAAAACAAAATTATTTTTAAACCATTATGCAACAACTCTATAACTAATATATTTCTCTTTTACTTAAATAGTAGTAATCACATAGTAAAAATTGTAATACTGCTTTGTGTCAAGTCGAATAATATAAGTAAAAATTATGACAAATACTGAATGTGTGAATTTTTACACAAGTGATATTCCCTTCGAAATACCTGTCAATAGTTTAAAATATCAGTTCACGCCACACTCTGCTAAAGCATTTGTGAAAGAAACTAATTTTAAAATATCTTTCTTAATAAATTTGACTGCAGCTCGTTTTAAAACAAGAAACGATAATAAGGAAAACTGCAATCTGGAGTCCGATGGAAAAGCGATGTTTAAAATCCAATAAAGAGATAATGAGAGTAAGATTGATTCAAAACCTTTAGCAGTGAAGATGGCTTCTCCATCTGCGTAACAAAGGAATGTTATGTCGTTAAATGACAAGTGTGTACTTGAAATTGATACTAAACGCGGTGGTTCTTTATCATCTGGTTTGAGGCTGGATAACGGTGTGGTATGCTGTAAAATAAATAAATTGTTAAATATCGATTTATGAGGATAAATTCATTAAGTGAACAAATACAAAAATGACTTTACAAAATCGTCCTTTTGTTATTAAATTTTGTTTAATAAGAGCACAAAGTGTGTATTGTTAGTGCACGAAAAATGAAAAAAACTGTCTTATTTATAAAATTCGAAATGATTGTAGAAATACTTACAGGATAAAATTCCATCACTTTTCGTTTTTCTGATGAGATTCTGCTAAAAAATTTCTTAAGTTCAAATAGTATTCCAACGCTTTTTCCATCATAATTTAATTCTTCACTTATATCATTCTGATCTTTTAAAATGTTAATTCACTGAATCTTTCAAATTCATCTGCAAAGTGACAACTGATATTTCGACAATTTTCGAAAATTCCCACAGTAACTGTAAAAAGATAAAATTTCTTAATTTATTAAGCTTTGAATTCAATCTATTCCGAGAGTAAATGTCAATTATTTTAATATTAAAAAATTCGTATATTTTTTAAGAAATATAAACTTTACCATCTCTTTGATTTTTAATGCTGGATACTTTTCAAAAAGTAATGTTGCAGACATACTTTTACGTGTTTCCATACGAACGTCTCTCGTTTGGTTAAGATAACTATTAAGTTTTTTTAAATTTGGTCGATTGTCGTGGACACTTACTTCTGCAAGCATTTCTTTACAAAGAACATCATGTGCAGCAAGTGCATCATTTTCTTTGTGAACTTCTACTTGTTTACTCCTTAAATGTTTTAAGCAAGCAGTCATCCTAGTTTCTGTCAGAATCTGTCATTAACATTTAAATAAAATTTATTCAAAAAAACAAAATAATTTATTATTCAAAATTATTTTATCGGAGTAAATAAAGATTTTGAATTGAGCAAGTACTAATTTAATAAATTTGTAGAATAAAAATGTTTAAATTCATAGACTTTGCTAATCATAGAATTAAATAATGAAATTATAAGCTTATGTGTCCCGATTCCGCTGGACCTTTCAAAAAATTATATTTGTCACATAGTAAGACCGCCATCTCTTCAATTTGGACTTTAGTAGGATTGAAATTTGTAGCAGCGAACAATTTTTGACTTGTTTGTCGAATAATATAGGCTTTTTGAGTTTCGCTGAGACTAACACTTGCATTAATTAATTTCTCAAGATTATTCGGAAATTTAATTGGAATCAAAGTTTTCAATTTTAGCTGCAAGAGAAAGTAATTATTAAATTATTATTAAATTATTATTATTATTAAATATTTTATAAACATTTAATTTTTATAAAAGCAAACTTGAAACGGAATAAAAACGAGCAATCGAAACAAAAATTTATTACCCTAAAATTTTGAACGTTCAAATGAATGCAAATTTTTCTCAATCTAATTATTTCAAATATTATAACTGCAAATAAAAATAAGAAAGTAATTTAACCAATTATTATATGTTAACAATATTATACTTTTTATTACATGACAAAATATGTTACAATGAAAAATGAAATTAAAATAGAATTTTTTTATTCGTCCCTTAGAACGTTCA